CAGATCACAAATCTCAATTTTTAAGTCAATAGGTTTTCATCCAAACACATTTTCCTGTAGGAATATTTTATAGGTGGTGTTTGGATTCTAAGACTCATATTAAAAAAAAAAAAAAAAAGCTACAGCCCAAATTTTGGGCTAGAAATAGAAACCATTTCCAAAAGACCCCACTATGATTATAATTAAAAATGTTATATGCAGCAGAAGAGTAGTTTTAAGGAAAGAGGAGAGGAACTTTGGGGAGTCCCTTTCTCAGATCTGGGGGCTTAGATGGTCTCTAAGAGCTGAAGACATCTATTCCTAGGAGACTGTTTATTCATAAGGTGCTTCTAGAAAAGTCAGAGAGGTGTGATTCTCAAAGTTTTCAGGCAGACAAACGTAACAGGGAGGCACAGGGAGATTATCGGAGGTAACTAAAGAAGAGTTAGAGAAGGCAGGTGTTCAAGAACATTAGTGTGGAGGCACAGGGAAATTTGCCTGAGGTGAATTAACTGAGCTGTGAGGACTGGAACTGGGTTGAGAATGGCTGCATGGTATCCTGGGGGCTGTCCTAATATCTAGCAAGTGAGGAGCATGAAAGGAGAGGAAAACAAATCAGATAGTGAGTCGGGGGTGGAAGAATCCTCAGAGCGTGACCAATATGCCATCATGTCACCTTTCTTCAGATTGAGGGGATCTTTCACCTTACGGCAGACAAACAAATGTCCCAAGAAAACTACAGAGATCCATGACTTCTACATAAATGATGTGTTTTCATTTATTTGAACAAAAATACCATCAAGTGAATTTGAATGGAGTTTGGAAAAAACGAGGAAAAAGCAAACCACATAAACCCAGCTTCATCAGACAAAAAACACAAACACACAAAAACACAAACACACAGGCACACTTGCACACTAACAATTCTCAATTTGGACTGGGCCCTGATTGGCCTTTGTCCTCTGATAACCACTGGCAAGAAGCTAGGCATGGCAGATAGGCTAATAACAATCTTCACCTCAAAAAGTAAAACTCCAAGCTAGAGAGAGACGGACACTCAAGGGTCTGTGTGACTTTGTTATAGGGCATCTTTATCTCCTTATTCTCTATCTTGTCTCTCCACAGATCCTGTTCTCCAACACCATGAGACTTCCTCATGCCTGCTGCTTTCTTTCAAACATCAATTTTTCTCCCTACCACCTTCTCCCTTGGGGATCTCATACTCTCCAAAAGCTTTAATACACAGGATCACCTCTCTGGCCAGAATTCCCACCAGCTTCACTCCCATTCCTGAACCCTCATTTCCAAATGCCTGCTGGATCTCCCCCGGATGTCCAAAACAGATTTTAAAATGCCATGTGCAAAACTGAACTGATCACTATATTTTCTAGTCCATAAAGTGCTGTCTCTGCTTCCCTGAATGGTACTAGCATCTCAGACACCGAGCCCTGTAACTGTGAAGGTGACTCTTTGTTGCCTCTCACACTCAGTTAATCGCCAAGTCCAATGGACTTGATCACCACTTGATTTCTTGCATTTGTCTTCTTTCTATCAGTGATTATATATATACAACTTCTGTTCATTGTCCTTCTCTTCTAATCTGGTTTACATGCTACTTCAGCAACCATCCTAAATGGATACTCTTCCAATCTGCTATTCCATTGTTCAAGAATTGTCAGTGGAATTCTACTGTCAGATGAAGTTCATGAGTCTCACCCTGATGTCTAAGATCTTCTGTTATCTCAACTGAACTTAATTTTTAGACATGGATTCCACCTCCTTCCTTTCATGGAACATATGCCATGGCTAAATTGAACTCCTCAAGCTATCCTGACTATGCCTTATACTTTCCACCTCAAAGCAGTTCATTCTGTTGCTTTGCTTGGAATGACCATTTCTCCCTTGACACACATGTCCAGTTTCCAAGTGTTCTTCAAGAATAAGCACACATTTTTATCTTGTTAATTAAGCCTTCCCTTGATGTACTAAGTAGAAGGTAACCACTCGTTCCTTGAACTTTGACACTATTTCCTGTTTCTGAACTTCACCATGTTTACAACTTTCTAAGTTGTTTTCTCCTCTCCTGGACTTATTTACTTCTGAATTTCTCTACATCATTCAGTGTAAGAAAAAAGATACAGTCCCCTAAAAGGTAGGACCAAAAAACACTCATGTGAGTACCTGCAATAGGTTAAGGCAGATGCTTAACCCACTGAAGGATGAACGCTGAGGGACTGAAAGGGTATGAAAATTATTTTAATCATATCTCTCTGTGGGAGGGTGAAGACACTGTCATTTGCATAATACCACATATCTGGATGAAAATGGAACAATTTTGTCACCAACAGTATTCTCCCGAAGTCCAGATGTCAAGAACTGCTTAGTTAAATGATCTGGGTATCTTTATAGGACAAAAACCTGTAAGTGAAAGACTTTACCACAGAAATAACATGGGGGAGAAATACACATTTTGGGGGCGAAATTTAGTGGAACTTAGTTTATTATCTCAAATTGAAAGTACTTTATTTTTAAAATTTTTTAAAAGATTTTATTTATTTATGAGAGAGAATGAGCATGCGAGAGAGCACAAGCAGAGGGAGTGGCAGAGGGCGAGGGAGAAGCAGGCTCCCTGATGAGCAGGGAGCATGATGCAGGACCTGATCATGACCTAAGCTGAAGTTAGACACTTAACTGACTAAGCCACCCAGCTGCCCCAAACTGGAAATATTTTAGATAATTGTCCCACTTCATTAAGAACTTACCAGCTATAACACAAAGTTGACTTTGTCTAGTTCTGCTCATTTTGTCTTGTGGGTGGGAGTAAATTTATAAAAACTTCATCTTTTATTCATTTATTTATTTTAAAGATTTTATTTATTTATTTATTTGACAGAGAGAGAGAGCATGCACAAGTAGGCAGGAAGGCAGACAGAAGGAGAGGGAGAAGCAGGCTCCTCACCGAGCAGAGTCCACCGTGGGGTTCGATCCCAGGACCCTGGAATCATGATCTGAGCCGAAGGCAGATGCTTAACCCACTGAGCCACCCATGCACCCCAAAACTTCACCTTTTATTCCGGTGGAGTCAGGGACTGAATGTCTCTTTTTGTTTAAAGAGACTGTTTTACTGCTGTGTACAGTTTATCTTTATGATTTTCCATTTAATCCCCTAAAATAATCATTGCTACAGGTTTCCCACACATAGCATCCATGACTTAATTCTGATAATCTTCGGTTTTGATTAATGAACCTCTCTAGTCAGTATTGCGTTCACCTTTTTACATGAGATAATGGTCCGGAATCTTCACAATAGGCATATATTAGATTGTCTTTTGTACTACACTGGATTGAATGGTTTCCGCTCCCAGTTTCTAATTTAAGCATCACATTAGCAAGATTTATGTAAAAAATCTGGGTAAGCCTCTAACAAGACAGTGAAACTTTGGGAGGTCTACAGGCTGACTAGGGCAAAGAATAAACAGCAGTTGCTAATCCCACTGTAAAGCATGAATGCAGAAGCATCATGAAAATCTCTCTTTAGGGTGACACATCTATTTATGCTACAGACTTATTGCTGTTCACTGGATTCCAGCTCATAACCTGAAGCCCTGAGTGTTCATTATAAGGCAATGCAATCCTTGCCTAATCAGTAAGCCACTGTTTGTTGAACCTTTTCATGAGGTTCGTGTCACTTCCTAGGAGGTTTTCAGTTTTGGGTCAAGTTGCTCTTGTTCATTTGTTTGCAGAACAGACCTTATATCTTAATCCAAACCATTTATGAGATGTCTAAGGCTGCTGCCTGCCCTCTGGGCCACTACATTATTTGATAAAGATAGTTGCAAACATCCTATATGTTGATACTCTATGAAACTGATTTTAAATGTTTAATTCGAATTTATAGTAAAGTTTTAATACCTTGAGACTTGGTGTGGAAAGGGGTATTTGAAAAGGCATGATGAGTGTTTCCCAATTTGAAATGCTCAGCTGAGCTCAAGTTGCTTTAAACACAGCATGTCCCAGGTATGCCCACTCAATTGCGACTTACTCTAATCTCTCCTAGGTGGGTCGTATGCCTTCGAACATACTTCTGCTCTGGATCTGAATTCTGTTCCCCATCAGGACTGTAGTACTCCCTTGGGCCTTATTCCAATTTTCTTGAGCCTCAACCACCACCTCCTCACTACTCCCAGTAGGTTGGAATAGGTTCTCCATGCCCCTAGTCACAGAAAGGGGTCCTGTTTTAATCCAGACAGAACACAGACATGGCTCTCCTTACTTGAGGATCACCACTGCTTTACCTGTCTGTATACCTGAACTCCATCCAACTCCTCCCTTTTCTCCTTAGGGTCAGAAGTCCAAGATATCAAAGGCAGCCTAGAATAGGTATCCTTTTTTTGAATGTCCTTGGACATTGTAATGTGACTGTTGGCACCATACCCTCAGCCAAGTTGGCCAGCTTTATGGATTTCCTTACTGTATAAAGACACCCTGTTTTTTAGGTAATCCTGCCATCTCAATTTGTTCAGTACTCCTTGTTCTATACCCATTGAGCTCTCTAGCATCTCACTTTGGGTGTTTACGATAAAATGTTAGTTCTTTCCATTTTACTATTTTTTAATGGCAAAAAAAAAAGATTCTTTACAATTTAAATATGGATCCTACTATGTATTTCCATTAATTCCCAGGAGAAGTAATTAGTCAGTTTTTGAAGTCTGCTGTGGGTGAAAATACTTTGTAAGTCTATTCTTTGATGGTCATTCTGTCAGACACACAAATAACAAGAAAAACTCACCAATAGTGTTCCCAGCAGAAAGATGTTCTAGAACAAACACTCCCCAAAAGCCCCTCATACTCTTTGTTTCATTCAATAAAACAATAAAGTATTTAATTTAGCTCTTGGTCTCTAGAGATGGCTGAGAGAATATTGCATTAGATGAAAGAACATCAACATACTACAGCATAAGACACAATATATGGAGTTATAATGAACTATAAAGAAAGCTAGAGTAAAAAAGAAACATTACCTTAGGATCATGTATTCCAGAGAGCTCTTCATAGATCTTCTCACCAACCATGACAGCAGCCAAGTTCGCCGTGTATGTAGAAAGGCAAAACATACAGAAAATGGCCCAAAGGTTCATTAGAAACCTGCCAGTCCAGCATTTGGGGGGTTTGATGGCTGCTGTTCTACCAAACAACAGGGCATAACAGACATTCAAGGCTGAAGAGAAGGAGAAGACTTTACTTCTATTCCGCCCCTTGGGAGTCATACCAAAGGGGCTCTTCCATTCATACAGAGTGAGGAAGATGGCAGTGATGTGCAGAGCCACAAAAATCCCCAGCCACATTGTCCAGTGGAGTGGCCACATGAAGGCTCCAATGGGAGCTGCTGTGTCTCGGGTCCTCACTAAGATGCCCAAGCTGGTGGAAAAGAAAGGACTGGTGAAATCTATCACTTGGCTTCGAGCAGTATTGATGCTGAAGGAAGTGACTGCCAGGTGGGCTGACCCACTCAGGAGATCACCCACCAGCCCAGTCCAATGCCCATTTTTCCAGGCTCCGTACTTGCCATCCCCAACAATATAGAGGTCAAAGTCAAAGTTCATGTCTTCTGCTAGCTTTTCCAGCAGATCAATGCAATATCCATAGCAGCACTTCTTGAATTTGATGGGCACTGTATCATTACTGCTATGGAGGCTGTTAAAAAGGCTGTCCAAGACAGAGGAGTCATTAGTCATGGGGTTTAGACAGAGTTGGCCAGCAGGGCACAAGCCTTCATCATCTACCTCCCGCGTGAAGACAAATGGATGTTCAATCAGGGTAACCACTCTCAAATGTAGTTTACTTGGATATTGGAAGTGGGTTTTGTGCCTCTGGGCCTGCTCTGGCCATATTCCATAGTCCATGACAATCTTGCCCCCTTGCCATCTGCCCAAACGTGTCCACATTGGCTTTCCCATAGGGTCATGTTGCAGATTCCAGATGAAAAAGTTGTTTTCTGAGCTGATGATTGTGGAACCTTTTACCTTGATGGAACCACTGAGGCCTCTGAAAGTGGTGTTGGCTAGAAACCTGGCAAAGAGGAGCAAAGGCAAAAAGTAAGGAAAAGAGGTGAGGCCAACGATAGGGAGGAGTGATCATCTTTGCTTCTTTGCCTTAATAAGAATAAAGTCTAATTTTTTTAAAGGCGTATATAAATTCCTATATCTTATATTCCTATAAATTCCTCAGGAATTAATAATCTGGACTTTTTCGAAGAGTCTTATTACTTCATTAAGCAAATGAGATCACACCCTTAGGTTCTAACATCTGGGCTAGGTGTGTGACTCATGGTCTTACTCCAAATCTCTTCATTCCTAGTTAAGGGATGTGCTAATTGTTTCCTGTTGTAAACCGTTAATTATACATTCTCACAACTTTGCAAGCTATGGAGGTTCTCCACATCTTTAGTGTTTCATTTCTACTGTTCACGCTATTCAATTGCAATGAAATTAGCTCAATAAATATTGGTTTTGGTGTAAGGAATGACTTTTAGTACGTAGGCCTATCCTTTTATAAATGCTTAAAAATTGCATTCATAATTCCAGAAAAGAGCCTAATCTTACTTTCAATGTTTCTCTTTTTCACAGTGGAAACAATCAACACATCTGTCCCCATAAGGCCAGTCAAAGCAGACTGTTGGATATCATCCATGCAACAAAGGAAAAGATGAGAAATAGACTTGCAGATCTCAGGATAGCCTCAGGGTACCCTCCCTCTAAGTCATTAGAGAAAAACAATTGGCTCTGGTTCTGGAAACAGCTTCTCTGCCCAAGTCAAAGAAAGGAAAATTACCAACTGAATGATGTACTGATTCCTAACCCAAAGAACCGGGCATTGTCAAATATATGTTCTGATATGGGCAAGGAAGGAAAATGCCTGGTCAGTGTCTGGGAAGATAAGGCAATACGAAGTAATAAACTTGTGGTACTTTCTTACTCTTAATTATGGCCTCTGTCCAAAGGAAAGCCTAGATTTTGACATCAGATACACCTCTGTTTGGATTTTGGCTCAACTACCTGCTAGCATTGTCCTTGGTTTTGTTTTTAGCAAAATGGGAAAGATAATATGCCTCCATTACAAGGGCCGGAAATACTGCATGTGCAGTATACACCCTACCTTTTGACCTGGTACAGATGTTTCACATATGGTACCTATTATTAAGTGTCATTCAAGTTTTTTCAATCAAGGCTGTCCCCAAGTCAGCCACTTTTCCCTAATCTCTAACAGAACTTCTCTAGTTGGAAACACAAAGTATTGCATTATGAGAAACTCATAGAGGGTACTCAAGACATTTTAAATCACAAGGAGTTACAATGAAATGTGGAATGTAACAGAAGTTTTTTTGAGCAATCAGGTGATACAAGTCTAGACTCTCAGCAAAACACGTTCACCCATTGCCTGCCACCAACATTACTCAGTAATTTACAAAGGCAAATACAAGTAGTAAGAGGTTATGCTGCCACAGAAGGGACATAGAAAAATCAAAATGTGTGAAGAATGTACTAATTTTCATTAGAGATATAAATGTAAATCACATCTGAAGACGATCCTATCACTAAACGCAATGAAACTGCTCATTTTGGTAGATTGCATGTAATGGTAATTATTCATGTTAGCACTCCCCAGTGGTACTCTCTACTGCTTAAAATGAATTCTATTTTGCAACAAGTAATGAAGTCTCAGTTATCTTAGACTTTAAAATAGTTTTATGCTTCTTTAGAGAAGTAGGGAACCAAATCATTAAAATATACAAATTAATCAGTTGATAATTACTTAGGTACTATAAAGGAAGGGTGACTACAATTGTGTTTCTAAAGAGCAATCTACTATTACATGTGTTCTCTCTCTCTCTCTCTCTCACATACACACATACACACACACACACACACACACACACACACTGATATAGCCTAAGGAACAAAAAGGTTTGTAGTAAATAGGTTAATTTCATTTGGTCAATTTGGTGAACAGTAAAGTTAAGCTGGAGTTGTAGAAAGAGAAGGCCTTCAGTATTTTAAGAATATTTGGGACTTAATTATTATAGATTTCTAGCTGGATGGACCCTTGAAGGATTACCTCTTTAATCATCTCAGATATCTTTCAGAAATTACATTAACTCCTTCATTCCAGTAAAACTTGTTCCTCATCATTGATGGTCAGTAACATCTAAGATGGTGACTGAAGGACAATGCTCGGTTGTCTCTGAAGCATCCATTTGTCACAGAAATGCAAATCTATCAGGATCTAAATGTCTTCAGTGTTCCCAGACCAGAAAGCCCAGTGCTTGTTTCATTACGCAATTGGCACCAAGAAACTGGGTCTCGGAGAATCCTCATTTATGACAGATGATTTCAGTCTGTTTTATTTTCAGTTTTACAGAGAAGGTAAATTAAAATAACCTATTGACAGCTTTCAGTTATTGTCCCCTTCACTACGTATTCTTTGCAATGTGATGATGATGCATAAGCAAAGTTTAAATGCCCACTGATTAAGTGACTGAAATCTCACTTTTGCTCTAATCAGTTTCTACCATGTTCCTTTTTATTATGCCTGGATTCTTCTTGGATGAACAAGAAAACAAAAGATCAGGAATAAATTTATTGACAGGACAAACTGATGCAAATACTGTTCTTAACATTAGAGTAACAGAGATGAAAGACACACTCATTGTTCTCAAGCATATGAAAGTCTTCCAATGCGGAGAAAGAAAAGCAAAGACACAATTCCAGGGTCATGACAGAGGTAAATATGGGTGCCATTGGGACAGAGGCCAAGGACTCCTGCACATTCTACTGCAGACATGACAGGGAAGCCTCTTAGAGGAGAAGGTGCCAGAGTTGAGTGTGTATAAAAGAAGAGCCAGGGAGAGAAGCTGGGGACTGATACCATCACCCAGGGAGATGTGTATGCAAAAGCTGGAGATGGAGTGCAGGATGACATGTGGTGAGAAATGAGGCTGCAGATAAAGGTGGGAAATGAATTTCAAAAGGTCTGAGATTATGATGAAGGTAAAGGGGAGCCATTGAGGGGATTCAATTGGGGGAAGGACATGACCATCAGATTTTATTTTAAAAAGCCCCTCCCCCCAAATTAGCTATATAGAAAATGGTATGGAAGGAGGAAGGAGCTGAGCACACTTTCATGCAAGAGCTAAGGTAATAGCCATGTAAGTGGAGAAACAACGGCATTATCAGGAAATACATAGTCTTCGAAAAGAAAAGTAGTGACTTTAGGGCACCTGGGTGCCTCAGTCATTAAGCATCTGCCTTGGGCTCAGGTCATGATCTCAGGGTCCTGGGATAGAGCCCCGCATCGGGCTCCCTGCTCAGCGGGAAGCCTGCTTCTCCCTCTCCCACTCCCCCTGCTTGCGTTCCCTTTTTCACTGTGTCTTCTATCAAAGAAATAAATAAAATCTTTAAAAAAAAAAAAAAAAAGTAAAGTACTGATTTTAAGGCACCAAATGCACAAGGTTGCATTCCATCCACAAACCACACTAAAGATGTGTGAAACTCAGCTTGATGGAAGGTCACATAAATAAGTCCTGGAGTATTTAGTTGAGTATCCGCTCAGTGTAAGCCCATACAGCAATGTGGGCATAAAAAAGGAGAAAAGCGATCTTAGAGTCTTTTAATAGAAATTTAGAGCCTGGGTCACAGGGACCAATAATATCACTGCACTCTGTGTTGATCACACTACTGCTCTAGCCTAGAAATGAATTCTAAATAAACCTTCCAGCTTCAAGAATGTTATGGAAGGAAAGGTAAGGAGGTGGAAAATATAACAAGGGGTAGAAAGCACAAAAATCCAATTGGAGAGTGGGGTAGAAAAATAGGAGAAAATAATATAGGAAAAGCAGATCACAACAAGACTATAGAGGCTTTGCATGTCCATTTTATGAGATTGGATTTTATTTAATAGGAAAAGGGGAGTCGTGAAGATTTCTGAGCAGAGAAATGATATAAGCAGAGGTCTGCATTAGTAATATTGATCTGGAAACAGGTACGCTGTGTACATAGGAAGGAAGAGATGATGACCAGGAGACCACTTAGAAGAATATTACAATAGCTTTGTCATGTGTGATAAAGGCTCGGATCTGGCACTGAGTAAGAGCCTAGTTTAGCACCATGCCTTTCCTGTCCAGTGTTTAACAAAGCAGTCAGGTATCTACGTTTTTTTATCAGCATACCTCCCAAGATACCACTCTGCTCAATGAATGAAGCTCATTAGTTAATTTGCGTTGAGGTAACTTATCACTTTAGTAAAAGCTCCAATTATCTCACTAATTAAGAATATGTGTTGATTTGTATAGGAGCCAAGATAAAATGTGTACTTTGCAAATTATGTAAAAACTGTTTTTGAGACAGTTTACAGTATAAGCAAGAACAGTGTTTAACACATGTAAGATATATTTTGGAAGCCACATTTGCACACAAAACTTGACACGCTAATTCAAGGATTTTCTTATTCATTAAAATAAATGAACAAAGATGTGAAAAAAACAACACGTCACCCATTCAGTCATTGCTTCATTCAGGAGTACTGTGTGCCAGGCACTGTGCTAGGGTCTAGGGGTTATACTAGTGAACAAAAGAGCACAAATCTATACAGCTTATATTCTACCAAAGGAGACAGAATACATGTGATAAATAGGTACTTGTATGGAATATTAGAGCTCCTAAGTGCAAAGGAAGAAAAATAAAGCAGAGTAAAGAGGTAAAATGTGGGCGCCTGGGTGGCTCAGTGGGTTAAAGCCTCTGCCTTCAGCTCAGGTCATGATCTCAGAGTCCTGGGATCGAGCCCCACATCGGGCTCTCTGCTCAGCAGGGAGCCTGCTTCCCCTTCTCTCTCTGCCTGCCTCTCTGCCTACTTATAATCTCTGTCAAATAAATAAATAAAATCTTTAAAAAAAAAAAAGAGGTAAAATTTGTCTGGGTTGGTGGTAGTGGCATGAAATTTTAAATTATAGAGGCCGGGGAGGAAGGAGGTATTTGAATAAAGAGCAGAAGAAAGGGGAGGAGCTAACCAGAAGG